TGGACTGCATGGAGCACCATTACCTCCTCGCAGAAGTGATCTACTCACATTTGTATGTTTTCAAACTGCTAGGTTGACAGAAGCTGGACCTAACAATGGGAGCTCAACCTGCTCCCCAAATTCAAGCCACCAACCTTTCTGTCAGCAAGTTTGGCAGCCCAATGGTTTAAACCGCTGTGCCACCAGGCGGCCCATCACCCAGAATATCAAGGCAGAAAAATCCTGTTTTGAACTGGGTTATTCGAGTCCACATTGCCATATATTCCAGTCCAAAGCAGAATATGTGGGTGTTTATTCAGCTGTGTAAAAGGGGCTTCATATTTCTGTTTAAAGCAGATATCTGGGATCAGATCCTAGGATAAAGGGCAGAATGGAAGGGCCCCAAGACTAATCTTTTCCCTCCATTTTTCCCTTTGCAAAATATATTTCATCTTATTTTGTACAACTTTAACCAAGAAAAACATTTTAAAAGAAGCACATATTGTTGTGTTATTAGTAATAATATCATAACCCGGTGGAAAACGCGAGTTAAAACACTGAGCTGCTGAACTTGCTGACCAAAAGGACAGAAGTTCAAATCCGGGAAGCGCGGTGAGCCCCCACTGTTAGCTCCAGCTTCTGCTAACTTGAAAACACGGAAATGTGAGTAAGTGGCAATAGGTACTGCCACCCCCCAGAGTTGGATATGACTTGACTTAACGTGAGGGAGAAATCTTTACCTTTTAAAAATAATAATAATAATTGTATTTATTTTATATAAAAAGCATTGCATAAATTAGTATAAAACCGATAAAAATAGAAGAAGCACAGGTGGCTAAAGATCTTTTGACCAAAAATGGGCAACAGCAATGGCATTGTCTGTAGCCTCCAACAATTCTTCCTCTGTACATGAGGCAGGGCATAGTGGACAAGCATACATATGCGGGAATTGTCTGTTCTGCTCCACAGTCACATAATAATAATAATAGTAATAATAATAATAATAATAATAATAATAATTGTATTTATATTCCCCTCTATCTCAATGTCCATGCATTTCGTTCTGTGTGAGACAGACACAGCACGCACACACAAAGAAAACAAGACACCAGGACCTACACGTCCCTAGGCCTAAATCCAGGCGTTAATCCTAATGAGAGCCGACTCCGGGATTTAAGGGGGTCTACTCTAGTGGGGGGACTAAGAACTGGATTCAGGCCACAATACAGACACATGGGGAGAGAGGGAGAGAAAGAGAGAGCATTGCCTCTTCGCTAGCTAGCCTCCATACAGATACAATAACCTTTGCACAACTTTCATCAGAGCTTTCCCTCTGCCCTTGGAAAAGAGTTGGCTCAGGGGGGCGTGGCCGCAGCCAAGGAGCCCAAGAGGGCTGGAAGGGAAAGAAGCTCAGGCGGACTGAGAGGAGAACCCCAGTGCCTGGACCCATAACTCTTCCCACACACACATATTGGCACATAGTCATTCGCCTACAGTCATACATCCCACACACACTGTCACACACACACAGAGTCATGCACCCCCCCCCCCCCACACACCACACTAGATCATATATAGGCAAACTTTTGTCCTTCCAGGTGCTTTGGACTTCAACTCCCACAATTCCTAACAGCCTCAGGCCCCTTCCTTTCCCCCCTCAACCGCTTAAGCGGCTGAGGGGGAAAAGGAAGGGGCCTGAGGTTGTTAGGAATTGTGGGAGTTGAAGTCCAAAACACCTGGAGGGACAAAATTTCCCCATGCCTGTCCTAGATACACAGTAACACACAAAAACAACATACACTTTATACATTACATTCTATCTATCAGACACACAGCCCATCCACATTCAGTGTCCCAACACCCACATGCACCTTAACACAAACACTATCCATCCTAATACCCGCACACACCAAGTACCCTAAACACAAAACCCAAACACATCAAGGACCCTTCTTTTACACAGCTGAATAAAATCCGACATTATCTGCTTTGAAATGGGATATATGGCAGTGTGGACTCAGGGCCCTTCCATACAGCCCTATATCCCAGAATACCAATGCAGAAAATCCCACAATATCTACTTTGAACTGGGATATATGGCAGTGTGGACTCAGGGCCCTTTCACACATCCATATAACCCAGAATATTAAGGCAGAAAATCCCACAATATCTGCTTTGAACTGGATGATATGGCAGTGTGGACTCGGATAACTAATTCAAAGCAGATATTGTGGGTTATTCTGCCTTGATATTCTGGGTTATAGCGATATGTTGAAGGGCCCTGAGTCCACATTGCCATATATCCCAGTTCAGAGCAGATATTGTGGGATTTTCTGCCTTGATATTCTGGGTTCTATGGCTGAATGGAAGGGCCCTGAGTCCACACTGCCATATATCCCAGTTCCAAGCAGATAATATGGGATTTTATTCAGCTGCATGGAAGGGCCTTCAGATAACCCAGTTCAAAGCAGATATTGTGGGATATTCTGCCTTGATATTCTGGGTTATAGGTCTGTGTGGAAGGGACCTGAGTCCACGTTGCTATATATTCCATTTCAAAGCCAATATTGTGGGATTTTCTCCATTGATATTCTGGGGGCCCTTCCACACAGCCCTATATCCAGGAATATAAAGGCAGAAAATCCCACAATATCTGTGTGGACTCAGATAATCCATTTCAAAGCAGGTATTGTGGGATCTTCTGCCTTGATATTCCTGGATACAGGGCTGTGTGGAAGGGTCCATAGTCAAGCATAGCAGCTATATTCTTTTTGTCCCCTTCTTCTCCTTGAAAACAAGAGATTCAAGACATGTTTTTAGAGAAAGAGGTTATGTCTTAGGCCCCTTCCACACAGCTGAATAAAAGCCCAGATTATATGCTTTGAACTGGAATATATGGCAGTGTGGACTCTGATAATCCAGTTCAAAGCAGGTCTTGTGGGATTTTCCGCCTTGATATTCTGGGATCTAGGGCTGTGAGGAAGGGGCCTGGGATATAGGGCTGTGTGGAAGGCGCCTGAGTCCACGCTGCCATATAATCCAGTTCAAAGCAGACATTGTGAAATATTCTGCCTTGATATTCTGAGATAGAGAGCTGTGTGGAAGGGCCTGAGTCCACACTGCCATATAATCCAGTTCAAAGCAGATATAGTGGAATATTCTGCCTAGAAAGCTGTGTGGAAGGGCCTGAGTCCACACTGCCATACAATCCAGTTCAAAGTAGATATTGTGGGATATTCTGCCTTGATATTCTGAGATAGAGAGCTGTGTGGAAGGGCCTGAGTCCACGCTGCCATATAATCCAGTTCAAAGCAGATATTGTGGAATATTCTGCCTAGAAAGCTGTGTGGAAGGGCCTGAGTCCACACTGCCATATAATCCAGTTCAAAGCAGATATTGTGGGATATTCTGCCTTGATATTCTGAGATAGAGAGCTGTGTGGAAGGGACTTGAGTCCACACTGCCATATAATCCAGTTCAAAGCAGATATAGTGGAATATTCTGCCTTGATATTCTGGGACAGAGAGCTGTGTGGAAGGGCCTGAGTCCACACTGCCGTATAATCCAGTTCAAAGCAGATATTGTGGAATATTCTGCCTTGATATTCTGAGATAGAGAGCTGTGTGGAAGGGCCTGAGTCCACGCTGCCATATAATCCAGTTCAAATTAGATATTGTGGAATATTCTGCCTTGATATTCTGAGATAGAGAGCTGTGTGGAAGGGCCTGAGTCCACACTGC